GCCCTGTGCCCTTCCCAGGCACTGCTTAGAACCCCCAGTTTCCCCTGAGAACCTCCTGAGCCTTCCCAGTGCCACCATAGCTTGGCCAGTCCCAGCTCAGGGGCCACAGGGGTCCCAGACACAGCACCCACGTGGCCAAAGGGTGCAGCAGTGTTTGTGTTGCTCTGGCACGGTGACGTGGGCCCCAACCTGCCTCAAACCCACAGTGGGAACCCCAAGACCCAGAAGGAGCGTGGGATGCCCCTTGAGAGGCTCTGAAAGCTCTTTGTTACCTCCCTGCCCATGTGCAGGAGAGAGGGCAGGAGCCCCAATGTGCTTTGTGGGGCGTTAGATGAACACCAAACACTGTCACTGGCTCATCAGCCTCTGTGCTGATCTTTAGTCTGGGGTCTCTCCCTCTTCACTGGCTCCTGCAGAGTCTGGGGGTGACCAAGCACCCCACCCAGCCATTGTCCCAACCCAGGCACAACCTGCAGCTCCTGCTCCAGGTGAATTCCACAACCCTGTGTCAGGGTTGATTCTGCTTTCCAGGCTCCCTGGGAGTTCAAAAGCTTTCTGGTGAATTTAGCAACCCAGCACTGGCTCACCTGGAGTGGTGGGAGAGTCTCCGACAGCAAACCCATTTCCCATCCAAAGAGAGCCCTGGGAGACAGCAGGAAAGAAACATCTCCTGTTCTGCCCTGAGGGGACAATCAGAGTGATTTAAGGACTCTTCTGCCCTCCCCAACACATCCACCACTCCCCTCACCCGCTCTCTTGTCTCAGAGAGGAGCTCCTGCTGCTCGGGGTAAACCCCTGCCCTGTGGTTGTGCCGAGTCACTGATCTGCTGTCATGGTGTCCTGCAGCTCACACCGGTCCTGTGGCACAGACACAGGGAGAAGTAATGGCAGTGGAGCTGTCCAGAAAAGCAAAGAGCAGCCCAGTATTGAACCTCAAGCCCAAGGAGCCTTCGCTGGGAGACCACGGAACCGTAACTCTTGTGGTTTCCCTGATGCTGAGCGGCACTGAGGGGGATGTGAGCAGCCTGAAGGATTCACGCCAGCCCCAGCCTGTCAGGGAGAACGATGTGGAGGAAAAGGCAATCGTAGTCTCAGATCAAAAGCAGCAGGCTGAACATTTGAACTGGCAGGCATTAAACCCCTGGGATCTGGATGGTGGGTTAAACCCCACTGATGAAGATTCCGACTTTGGACAGCAAGAAGATGTGGAGGTAGCTCCATCTCCAAGGCATGACAACAGGAGGACGAACAAAGAGCGCAAGAAGAGAGACACTCAATACTGGGTTGGACAAAATCCCCTCTTCCACCAGGCGTTGAGCCCTGTGATAGCCCAGGGAGAGCCCACAGGCAGAGACAGGAAAGCTGAGCTGGGTCTAAACAGGAACCTGGATTTTCTGTCTGACCCACTGGTTGACAATGGCCCCGCTGCAATTATCAGGGCTGAGGCCAGGGCTGAAGGAGAGCCTTCCTCTCAGGGTGGGCACTTCTCCCTCATCCCTGACACGATGGAGACACCCTGGAAGCAACAAGAAGAAGGGTCCAGGCTCCTCAAGACAGGTAGCCCTGCAGGCACAGATGCTTTGCCACTTGCAGAAGAGGTCTTTGAAATCACAGGCTACCATCACCTGTTGCCAGATGAAGGCCTGCAGACGTTCATGGCCCAGGTAGAAGAAGCCCTGAGGATGGACTGCAGCCTGCCCGGGCTGCAGCTGTGCTGTGCAAAGATGGTTTCAAAGACTGAGCTGCTTCTAAGTCTGCTCAGCAAGAGGCAAGAGAAGGAGGGAGCCTTTGAACTGACGAATCCATGTCTTCTACAAGAGAACATCTTCAGACGCGCCGCCTTGGAGGAGGGCAAGGAATACACAGGGGAGGTAGGAGAGCTGCTGGGCACTGCAGGATGTGTCGTTCAGGGCAATGGGGAATGGAAGGAGCAATCCTCTCTCCCTTGCTGATCTTGTCTGTTTTTGTCCCAGAAGAAACCAGAGCCCTTGGATGACACAATCACATTGGTGGTGTTGCTCTCTGTCCTTGCTGTCATTTCTCTGATGCTGATGTGTGTCCTTAAGGTATCTATGTCTATAAGCTGATGTCTTGTTGGAGACACAGCTGTCAGTCATGCCCTGTAGCTGCAGAGCCCAGCTGAGGAGCGCCAGGTGCCGCTGTGGGTGCCCGTGCACGTGCTGGGTAACACAGGAGATGTTTTTCCAACCCTAGTGCTTGTGGCAGCATCCACAGCCCCAGGTCAGCAGTGTTCAGCCTGCTTGGGGGAAGCTTGTCCTGGCATCCTTCCTGACTCTCCATAGGTTTGCTTTGCTCTCCTACCTTCAGCCAGGCAGGAATGGGATTAGGAGAGCTCTGGGAGTTCATTCACGTTCTGGAGGCAGGCACAAGTGGGAAGCTGAACGTGGGGACAGGCTCTTTTAAAAATTGTGGCTTCTGGTCCAGACTTGCATGTGTATAGAATGGGCTGGGTTGGAGGATGATCCTTTTGGCCTCCGTTGCTTTGCAGAGTATGACAAGAAAACTCTGCACTGATATTCCAAGTCTCCCTTTTTCCTTTCCCAGCTGTGCTCCCGACCTTGTGCAGTTTTTTGCCGATGCCTCCGCACTGTGCTGAGAAGGTAATTGCTCCCTGACTGTGCCACTGCTGTGCCACCAACAGTCTTTACCCTGAAGAGTAACTCATCCCCAGACCCCCCAGCCGTGCAGGAGTCGCTGCTGGTGTTTAAGACATCGCTTTTGGGAGAGACCCAGAAAAGGAGCCCAGAGTGGGAGCGATGGGCACGGATAAGCTCACATCCCAACCAGCCCTTCTCCGTGCTGGTGATGCTCACCCCTGGATGGCCTGGATGAGCTTGACCAGTCATTGCCATCCTTTCTGGGGCCCCCTGTCTTCCTTAGGCTGTCCTGAAATGCCCCCTGAGCAGGGAGAGGTGCTGGTCCTGCTGCTGCCCTCCCTGCCAAACCTGCCTGCTTCTTGTCCTTTTTTCCTTTTGTTTTCAGTTTCTTTGTAATTCTGCGCCGGAGATGGAGGAAGAACAAGTACAAGAAGTTAGAGGATGTAGAGGTGGTAAGGGCAGGGAGCAGGTGCCAGTGCTGTCTGTCTGTCTGCACTGCCTGCTCATCCTCACCTCTCCCAATCCTTCTCCTCCATGGCACTTTCCAGGACTTTCCTGAGCTCAGCGAGGATGATTTGCTGGTAGTTCAATACATCATGGATGTGCTTGATGCAGAGGAAGAAGAATCCAAGAAGGAGAGAGAACAAATGAACACAGATGCCTTCGAGGCAGAGAGAGGATGTGAAGACCCTGCCCTGCCTCCACCACCCCAAAATCTGGACTGCTGACTCCGTGAGCCCTCTCTTCAGAGGAGGATGCTGCAGGCATCAGGGCACCCTGAGGAACCTCCCTTGGACCTGGGAATGGGGGGTGGGAAGCCCTGGGACCCTCCAAGTTTCTCCCTGGGGACGGGGAACAGGGGGGTGGGAACAGGGAGGTGGGATATTTTAGGACCCCCATAGTTTCTCCCTGGGGACCTGGGAAGAGGGGGGTGGGATGCCCTGGGACCTCCAAAGCTTCTCCTCAGGGAATAGCAACAGGTGATCCAGGAAGGCCCAGGTGTCCTGAGCAGCCTCTGCCGCTGTGCAGTCTCCGGAGCGCGCAGCCTTCCCAGGGCTGCAGTGTCCAGGGGGTCGGCACGTGTGGCAGGGTCCCCTCCCCGCAGTCCCTTTTTTTCCCTGTGTTTTGTCTTTCTTTGTTTGGAGTCTTTCCCAATAAATACCGTGTTTTTGCAGTCAGAGTGTCCTGTGAGACTGGGGAAGCGTCTGTGTGTGTGGGGCTGTTTTGGTGTGTGTGAGGGAGGCTGTGCTCGTGTGTCCAGTGCCAGCAGATGGACTGTGGTTGGAACTGGCAAACACTGAAGCCCTGGGCTGGAGCAGGTGGGTTAAACCCCACTCTGACAACTCAGTTTTTGGACAGCAGAAAGGTAAAGAGGAATCACCAGCTCCAAGGAATTTGTTACCAAATACACACCCCCCCCAACCTCATGATCTGGTGAGCTTGGTGCCCCTTCCCCTTGCTTGTCCTGCCTCTGAGGTTCGTTCATCACACCACGCTACAGAATTTTGTGTAATTTAATGAAAAACACGTTTGAAATGAAAAAGAACCTTTGTTTTACATAATGATAATGCTCCAGCTACTTATAGTTGGGGTGCAACACCTCTGGCTCACTTGGCACAAAGGTGTCAACACACTGCTACAAGACTTAGGCTTATTTCTTTAAAACAATTTTCACTTAGACAAATACTTTTCCCGTGCTTGTGCAAAAGACTGTCAGTCCCACAGCTACTCCTGCTGGTAAGATTCCTTCCACCTCTAGCTTTCTCCCCTGGATTCGAGCGACTCTGAGCCGTATGTGGGTTCCTGCAGGGAGGGCTTGTTCCTTTTGTTGTTCCAGAATTGCTACACACACCTGCTATTCTGTCTAAATACTCGTGCAGCTCCACTGGTTCCAGATATAGCTGACCTCAATAAGTTGACAGGAAAACAATTTTTCTCCAAAGCCAGCATATATTTTGGGTCTTAATTTTAGCAACATTAGGTTTATTGCCCACTTCTTTCACTGTTGCGTATCTGGAAGAAAAGCGAACGTTGTTTATGACGCACGTGGCGTCTCGTGGTGTTCAATTTTCATCCCTAATCAAACACTGCAAAACTTTTGGAAACGATGTGAAGACAGAGCTGCTCTAATTCAGTGGCATCATCAAAACTGAGATCAGACAGAACTTCTTCTTTGAGCTGCAACTGTTCCAAAGACAATTCATTGACCTGCAAAGAGAAATCAAGAGTAAATTTCTCTCTCTAAGCCAAATTTTATCTTCATCCCTCTGCACCAGGAAACATACTTTTGCCACGTACAAGGGAAATCTCCCTGAAATTCACCACTCAGGAACATTTCTGCTTTGGAAAGGCTGACTGACACCACGAGGCAATGAAACAGAAGGACACTCAGCGAGTCCTTCTGAATTCCCTTTCCATCAGTCTGGCTGAATTCCCTCTCACACACCTCCACAGGAGGGGAGTGGGAGGGCAGGGAGGTGAGGGATGACTGCTGGGAGAACAGAGGTTTCTGCTGGACTCTACTGCTTGCTTCTCTTACGGTCAGGACCAGTTAGGTCAGCTCTCCGTGGGTTTGAAAGAGGCTGGATAGCAGGGGCTGTACGGAGGAGAATGTGGAGAGAGAACAAACCGGGAGACATTTCAGACTCCTGGACTTATAAAAAAAATTCTGATGGATATTGGTTATGTCACACTCCAAAATACTCCTGTTTTGCTGCTACTCTTCAGTAAGGAACCAGTTCTGCCTGTGGACTCAGGGTCGCCAGGTGGAACAAAGTGTCACAAGGCTGGTCGCACTGCTCCAGGAAAACTGCAGGAGGAATGAACCACGGAATATCCTGAGTTCGAGGGGACCCCCAAGGATCATCCAACCCAGCTCCTGTCCCTGCATGAGTCACCCCAACAATCCCCCCATGTGTCTGAGAGGGTTGTCCAAACACTTCTCGAGCTCTGGCAGCCTTGGGGCTGTGACCACTGCCCCGTTCCAGTGCCAGAGGCAGCCCCAGGGCTGTGTCACCACAGGAGCAGCTCCAGAGAGGCCAAGACCACCCTGGACTTGGCTCATTTCAAGCCAGTGCACAGATGAGAAATTGAAAAACCTCCTTTTTTTATGGGAAAAATAGAAGCAAATCAGGGTCACAATAAATGACACTACAAGTGCAAGCAGTGATGGAGCTGAGTGCTGGCAATGAGCTGCAACAACCGAGGGGATTTGGGGACACCTCTCTGTGCCCTCATTTCAGCTACTCTAATAGCAGAGG